AGAGTGGCAGCCCATGATATCATTCTTCTGAACCACACTGCATGAGAGAGACAGTGAGCCGTATGCAGATTAGATCGCCCCCTCACTTGCAGCAAGTGTTCAAGTTCGACCGGCGGGTAATCCTGCGATGAACGTAAATTTTAACAAAAACTTAAATTACTATTACACAGTTTGAAACACCAAACTTCATGAAAGTTATACTCATTTCTGAATTGAAAGCTTCAGACAATGATGAATTGATGGAAGCACAATAACTGAGAGTGCTGGCCTTGGGATGAATCTAACTGATAGAAAGACTTGACATAAAAACAGTGGTGACCAAAAGTCCTGTGGTAAGATGATTCGGCTTGTGCCTACCTGCATCTGCGGATTTCTGATGGTCACTTAGGAAATCTATATAGAAAATGAATATGATCACCTCATCCGTTATTAATACCGGGGAGGGAAGTCGTCAGGGCTCAGCGTCGAGGCAGACTTACCTTCCACCGGGTGTCATGACAAATGGCCCAATTTATGTTATTGGGAAATGACCACCGTCATCCTTCATTTAGCATGAGAATAGCTTTGGCAGTCTTGTGAGCACCGGCCAGGATACCTATCCCAATGGAGTGATCCATCAAATAGAAAAGGTGGTAAGAGAGAGGTTCACCAGTTAAGTTATTCTCCTTCATGTGCCGGCTCACGCTATCCGCTGCTGTTTTATATCAAAGGTGGTATAAAGTGTTGGCCGCTTAATAGTGGTACCATACAATACACAGTACTGAAATAACTCAAATTGCAACTGACCGGTTTCAGACCACGGTCTTCAGTTACTGACAAAGGTATTTCAGTTGAGAGAGATGGATGGTTACCTGTCGATCAGTGCCTTCACGTCTCTTCTCTCTTACTATACAGTTTCCCGTGGACTGTAATAATCCCCTTCGTCGCCTTCAAATTAACAGCACAGTTGATGGTAGTCTCTCTCCTTTCCGTTATTAGGGGAATTGACCATACCTGATGAGGCGTTTGCTGGTTACTTGGTAGCACCAAACGCTCTCTCTGTTGTTCTAGTCAACTACAACGAAGAGAAGTTACGAAAAAGTGAGAAGAGTCTCTTCAACCAGTTTTTCGAGAAATGTGCTGTCAACCTATAATTCTGAAGCTAGTGTTGTCACCCGACGGTGCATACGGCCAATTTGCGAACATCCACGTGAACATCTCTGAAAAGCAATTGGACCCTGTTGGCCACCATGTGCAGTACGCCAAATGTGGGCTTCATTCAAAAAGTCACAGACGTTGCGCATTCGCTCGTTCAATACGTCTGGGATTGAGATGATGTCTTTTGGAAGACCAATAGCAACTTGGTTTGACATAATGTTTTGTGATCCTCCATGATGGTGACCGGCACGCCACGATGGTTGGAATCTTTGTTGCAGCAGCGAACTGCACCACGCAGTCCCTATTCCCAGGCATCCCTGATGCATATGTTAACGAAAAAGCCCAAACGCCCAGAAATGTGAAACTGCATACCAAACACAAACCTCATGTAGTTAAAATAAGTTCAGAAGAGAATGAGGCTAACGGAAGATACCTCACACAGGTTATTTGTTCCGATCTCTACCTTTTACCTGGCCTGTTAGGTATATTTGTTTTATATCTTAAGATATTTTGATTCCATATATTTCTGCCGGACTTCGCCGCTGATATGTGAATGCTTCTGAAAGCGCATAATATATTCTCTGGCTTGTATACGGTTGACATGTGTTGCCAGACTTAATGACTGATTTGAGTATGAAGGAAAGTTGTACCGAAATTCTATGAACATCGGGTTCGCTAATGAACCACGTGTAGGAAGCTCTTATTTTGAGACGTTTCATCTGTCAAGAAAGACAGTCCTGCTGATGTCGCTTCTCATCAAAGTTTACTTACTACACAAATTTTCCTTATTTTGAATAACTATGGTCTCACCTTCAACTTAGGTGTGCACTTCGCGCAAAGCCAATGCCGTTGACGTCTCAACAGATTGCATACCAACTTATGGGTGAAATGCTAGTCACACAACGTTCAGGCTCTCACTCGTCATGGCAACGTAAACTCTTAGGAAGTCGCAAATTTCATAACTTTAAAAGGAAAGGGCTGTAGGCGTCTGAATGCTGTTTCTTTTAGGGTAGGGTTGCTCACCTGAAAACAGCAGCTCGCTGAAAAACATCCGTCATGCGCACCAAAATATAGTCGTGTCTGAACACAACCACCAGGGATGCACATGATCCGTCCACCAGTGGCTCCTTTAGGTTGGGGTGGGCTTTAAAAACAAATTTCTCTACAAGGTTACTGACACTATCTATGCCATTATGGAAGCTCCTAATTCAAAAGGGTTTCTGCGAAAATGTTGAAAGGACAAATCGTGAAGTTCAAATACCAAATATTTCAAACAGATGGACTTGTAGAAGCAGTTGCCGTTCTCAGATGCTTTTCCAGATAACTGGAATTACAGTGTTCCAAGCCCAAAGAAGCGGTAGGCACAGTAGGAATTTTCCCTTCAGTACCCACAAAAGAGACGGCTGTGTGGGCAAATATCGTCACAGAGACCAGACACCGGAGCAGGATAAGCAACAAAAGGAACACTAAATGAACAATATGCCGGTTTGAGAAACTTCTTCGAGGAGATCACTCAAATTGCGGTAGTTTAACTCTCGCTGTATGTGCGAAACCAACATAGTGAAATCAGAAATAACTGAGAGGAAAATAACTGGAAAAAGCTATATCCGAGTCTTCTTGTCCATTGCTCCTGACCACACTCTTGTTCACAAGATTTATGTCAACCTGCCGAAGGTTCGGTTTAGGATTAGAACTGTGTTTGCTTTGAAACTGCTCAGCAGCGTTGGCAGCTCTGTTATCACATCATTGGAATGCATGGAGCTGTTACAACGGAGTATGTGACGTCGATAATTTTAGAACATATTTTTAGTCGTCTGCCAGCCGAAATAATAGTTCAGGCGTGTCACAGGCGTGATTTGTACCCATTGCTTTGGTTAACAAGGAAATAGCACGAGGGAAGTGCCACCATCGCAAGTTTTTTGACCGATATCGGTCCTCATTCGTGCTATTCCGTCGGCAGCTGAACCATTCACTAACCCGGTGCTACGCAGCGATTCACCATGCACTTGATAGTTCTCTTCCAGACAGAGATTTTGCTAAATGCAGATGAATCACCTGCGTGAAGAGTGAGCATGTATGCTCTAACCCACCCAGTAAATTTCCGTAGCGGCGACATTATTGTAGTCAAGCTTCAAACACGGGGATCTCTGACACCCCGTTCCCTGGAAATTGGCTGAAGAGTAAAGAAGCACGTTTCTACACTGTCTGTTTAGAATGTCTTGAGCTGGCTCAGGCTTGTTGCCAGTTTAACACGGATCGAAGCAAAGAAAGGAAATGAGATTGAGACCAGGTAAGAATAATACAACTCCGGAACAGTGGTAATATACTTAGATGCGCGAAATAGCTTGCTATGGAAACTTCAGCGGGCGGCACGACATTATACGACAACGTGCAGAACTGTGTGGATGCGTGTGGCTTCATCTTTACGACCCTGTTAAAGCTACAAGTGTCAGCGTGAATATAGAACACTGAAAAACCATGGGCCATCAATTTTTGGTAGTTCCTTACCACCACAGCCTTGTAGATAATACATGTGTTAGCGTGTCAAATATTACTATGCTCACAGTGAGCGTCCGGCATCTTTCGCGCTTTGTCGCATTCTTTGTTGAAACCTGGCCCAATCGGTTTGGCCTTGTCTACGCGCTTAAAGTTGCTGATCACGGACAAAATGAAACTTGGTGATGAAAGTCAGCATTCTCTTTCCTCAAAGTCACATACACCATATGGTACACCAAGCATGGCCACCAATACAAAGCATCGCCTATGATATTAAGGCCAACAATTTATCCAACTAGCCGTAGAGATTGCGAGCTTCTGCCTCCGTGGTTAAGTAATTTTCATGAAATGTTGCATGTCGGTGGTAATTACAGCAAAGTTAGATGAAGTTTCTCTTCTCATTGTTTTAGATCTTAGTGACATGGGTCCCACAGCACATACCTGAAGGAACAATTTGGTTGATCGATACCCAACCCAGCGTTTCCTGGGATGACTAGTGAACAGCAGTAGCAGTCAAGAGTGGTGCACGGCTGCCTTATAGGTGCACGATATTTTCTTAAGAGATTTGATAAGAGATTCGTCCAGATGATTTTTTCCGTAGCCAGTTCCACACAGAAAAGTGTTGCAGACGCGCGCTTGACTCCAAATGCGTCTCAATGAAGCCAAATATCCCAACGCATGTGTAGCGCTCCTAGTGTCGCCAATCCATAGGTGTCAGAAAATGTCAAAGTAAAAGACCCATGAGAAGGTACCGCAAGATGTGTCCGCAACACAAGGCACCTCAAACTTGCGAACAGTCAAGCATCGTTAAGACACGGTTCAGATGAAGAAACAAGTATTCATCTAAAGTATCAACTTAAAAAAATGCAGACGGTGTATAATAACATTAACACTGTGAATGAATCCATAATTCCCTACCCCTGCTTCCTCTCTTCTTAGACATCTCAAAGATCGAATCTTGCTGATCGGGACACAAATTATTCTTTTCGCCTTATGAGGTCAAAACAAAGGGGACGGTGCAGAATGAATAATGGAATGGTAGTTTTAAGCTAGGCGGCCCATTAGAAATGACCCTCACAGAGAGGTGTTGCTTACGCCACCAGTATACCAGATTGCTTACCGAGTCGGTGAACACATATTTGTAAAAATGGTTACCACAAGCTAAAATCTCATTCTTTTGGAGGCGAGAGGAGAAATGTAAATATACTGAGCAAAATACTTATGACCTTATGAAAGGCGAAGAAAGCATGTAGTCACTTATTTGCCTCTTCAACACAAAACACGACCTAAGACTCCCTTACCGTTTCCATTGAGCATCAAACTGACACAAACTAGGGACGCTTGTTTTTAGCGAATATTCAAAAAGCATGAAGGTAAGTTGAAATTAATTATTTTAACGCATATTAGAAACTTTTTACAGCCGACGTAAACTTGCACAGTGACAATCGGAGATGTTTTCAGCTTCAGAATTGTAGATCGACTTTCGTAGCCACTTTTGGGTAGATTGTTGGTATGACTTTTAATGTTCTAAGTTTTAACCAATCTGTTGAAATTTTTGATCGTCATGGTGAAAGGAAACTGGAGCTTCCTTTGCCAGGGTAAATACAAGCTTTTGTTGAGATTTTTGTTCAGTGAACCTGTTTCAATGTCTTGGGATGCCGATGGTGACAATCTGGCTGTTATTGACGATAAAACATCGTCCGCTACCATATGGAACTCACTTTCGTTCAAAATTAGTCAACTTCATACCGGGATGAAGTGAATGTCTTAATTTTAATTTTTTTATCATAAGGGACACCCTTAGTGTACTCTCATGGTCTAAAGTGGGTAGCCGCTTAGCCATTGGCACTAGTAAGGGTAATCTCGTCATTTATAATCATAAAAATCTGAAGTGAGTTACTAATAGTTGAGTTATTGTTAGAAAAACATCACTTCTTGGAAAGCACACCCGAAAAATCACTTGCGCCGTATGGAACAGGAAGAATACTTTAGCATTGGCAAGCGAGGACAAATCCATAACTATTAACTCTGCTGAGGGTGATCTCATGAAGCATGTTTTGATACACGATCTACCAACTAATTTGGATTTTGGTCAAATGAAGCTTCAGGAAGTCTCCAGAACCGAAGATAATACTGTAAGTCCGAGCTATCTTGAAGTATATTTACTTTCTCTGAGTATGCCAAAATTTTTTTTACGCAAATAATATGCACCCGACAGCATCAAATTCAGAATCGCTTTTTATTTATCATCATATTTAACCTAAATTGCGCGTTGAAAATAACAAACACCTTTATTTTGAGTTCGTCTCTCACCTTACATCCAGTCACTTGATGCGAAGGCAGGTCTCTGTTCGCCATGTAGCTTTTTGTTCACAGCTGGTAATATAAATAGTCATATGTCAGAGTATCCAGGTGTTTTAGACGAATTAAGTGATCCAGCCCAAACGCAATTCAAATGAACTGGATTCATCTTAGTATATGACATCTATCTTACGAGCTAGCAAAGAAGTTTATTTCGTTGTATTAACTTATGGGTTTTACAAATTTACTGGTACATTTTTGCGGTTCGAGATACGTCAGTTCCAGCTTATCCCTTGTCAGAGCTCTAGGAAATTCGGTGCCCCCTTGAATATTGGTTAAACTTGTAAAATGTATCTTTTGCCCCACGTTTATGGTACTGTTGAGATATTCAAATGTCATATCACTACCTTTTGGTTTTTATAAAAGAAAGAGGACTGAAACGAGAAAGAAACAAGAAAATATGGAGAAAAGTTGGTCAAAGATATAACACCAAGGCAATGGGATTATATGGTGAGTCTTCATAATGGAGCAAAAGGTTGGGTCACGGTAGCGAGAATAGTAACAATAATGTGGATCAGTATAAAGGCGAAAAGGAATCAAGAGCATTCTCACCGATCCAGTCTGCTTAGTTCGTCCCTATTATCTGCTTCTAATTCTTGGATATATAAATACTCCGTACTTATTTGTTCACCATGCTGACCCATCTTCCATACCTCCCTCATTATATTTCAATTCTCCTTAATTATTGTCTTTCCTGCCGTTGTAAATGGTCTCAGTTTAATATAATATACTTAGATGTTAGGATTTACGTCAAAATGTTTGTATTTTTAGCAAATATTCCTTGAGATTTTTAAGTATTTTTAGGTGTTAGTATCAAGTCTTTCATCACAGACTGAAACCATGAAATAGAAAACCTTTTCTGGTTTTGCTTCAAATGAAGTTGTGCTGAGGTGTTTGTATAGAGCAATGGAAATAGAAATTTGAACTATTGTTTTGCAAGTGAGTTCCAAGAAACTTAGTAGATAAATTTTTCAGTTGTTAAGGTGCTCTTTCATCTACACAGTGCATTGAGTTAGCGTAACTCAGGTTTATGAAAACATACGTAGTAACATTTATGACTGTAAGTAATCCGTCCTATCAAGTAAGATAACTGGATTATTCTAAGAAGCCTGTATATGCTAAATAAGGTGTAAATTAGTTTCGCAACACGAAGTGATTTCTCGGAATGGGAGCACAAAAGCTCTATTGTACAAAATTCATATCAGCTATATTTTCGAACAGATTTTCGGTTAGAAGCCACTCAGAATCATCCCCATGGAGGTTGTAATATGACCGTAATATAGATCGTTTAGAGTCGTAGCTGGACGGGATTCAGTTGCTACTGTCATCATTAATGAGGATTGTACCCCAGATGATCTGTATTGATATTCCTAATTGTAAGTGTAGCTTAGAATAGTATTTTTTAAATTCCTTTCTGCGAACTTGTTTGAAATAAACTCAAAGGTAACGTTTCAGAGCTGAGTGTCCGAAATAATTGAAAATGTAATTTTCCGGCCTGAATAACTTCTTCCAAATACTGCAGTGGCTGCACCATCAGACTCCGCTGTTGCGGATGTTAATTTCAAAATACGTCGTTAACTTGACATTGAGCTTTACCAAGTCGCCAAACTAAAGTATGTATCGTGACTATGTCAGTGTATGCCTTTTTTTATATGTTTCACCAATCAGTGACACGCTGAGAATTCTGTCAAAGAACTTTTTATACTGCAGTATGACACTTTAAAGGTACTTGTGACAGTGTAATATCATTTTTAGGATACATACATTTTTATCTTTGAATGAGTTTAATTAAAATATTCTCAATCCGGTCCTCAGTAAAAACTCAGAACCTTTTTCCATCATTGTTGTGCTGACTAACTAACTAACGTTTAGAGCTCATTAAAGCTTCACATTATACAGGGAGATTTTGCTCATGAATGAAAATCTATACATGCATCAAACTTACTTGATGGACTGGATTAGGTTGACAGACCACTTCCTTGAATCCTTTCTGGAAATATACATACACTTTCAATGAAGCATAACAACAAGTTGATCTTTAGACTTTACAACGCATTTCTCTGATAAGATCTCCAGTAAAAACATATAGCCAAGGTCAACCAAACAGTTCGTTTGTTAAGCTGAATCTGAGTCTACCAGTGGCCTAATAATCGAGTTGAAATGTAGTGATTTTATGAGTTTTGTTTAGGAGTAAACTGAAAAACCGGTGGTAGTTATCTGTAAAATGATAGCTGATCTCTTGCTAATTAAAATCAAAGGATTGTCAAAAGCTTTGCAAGATGACGATGGAATTTGATGATACTAAGCATGTTTTGATGTAATTACAGGTTCTGACTGACAACACTCCACTAGGTAGCATAGTAGTCTAGTGAACTGTTATGGAGGAATGTTGCACACTATGTGAATGCACTTTCTACCACTCTTGTATCTTTTTGTCTATCTGCCTATCTATGGTTATGCGTTTTACGTATGTTTCATGCCGGGATGGTACGATATGTGTGGTTCATTGAACTTCAGTAAAAATTATTTTGTGTTTACCTATCCTAGAAACCTAACATTTTTATAGTTTATGCAAAGCTTATTTCCTTCATTCATTTCTGTTACATGTGAGTCATAACTTGTTACTGGTTTTAACTGGAAAAAAGATTGTCATCTATGATTTTATGACAACAAGACGATTTTTTCATATTCAACCAAAAGTTTTGGATTGTTTCGGGCAAATATTTCGACACATGTGAAGTAATGTGGGAATGATTATTTTAAACAATGACTTTAAATCCTTCTTAAGTTTCACATCATTCATCTTCATGTTTGTTCAAAACTCACTAAAGACAGTAAAGGCAGTTAGTGGCTATCACGGTGTCGAGCTCTGAAATGTGACTCCAAATTTATATACGCGCCCAGATACACTATCGCTTGTTGATAATTCCCGACACTGCTGATCCACCTGCGTCAGACGGTGTAAATATCAGGAGTTAACGCGAAGTATGTATCAAGATGTTGTATTGGTCGACGAGCGAGCAAAAGAGTGTTTTCATCAGTACAACTAAACAAAAATGTTCAATGAGTTGTTACATATATCAACACGAAGCAGTGAAATAAAATGTTACATAAATTCTTCTCCAGAATACAGACATAAGAGGGAATATCTGTGTTCGATATAAAATGTTATGAGGGAGGTAGTTCATTTTGAAGATATTCAAAACATAGAAGGAATGTTAAAGATATCTACTATCAGGATGAAAACTGATTGCAAGAGTGTTTATATAAAAATGAAGTGTTTGATAGCCAAAACTAAAATAACTTTATAAAAGTAATAATACATCTGGGAATAAAAAGAAAAGACAAGCAACCGAAATCGTATTACCCGGAACATTGTCAAGAAATAAAAGATTCAGAAGTCCGTGGTGGCAGGCAAAAATTGTTTTTGTGCATGTAGAAAAGTCTGTCAAAATCGTGTGGTCATGTTTTCAACAAGGCAACGCACAAAAACGGTAATAACGTTACTAGGGAATTGGTTTTATGAAAAGTAAGTTGTCTGAAAGTAACATCGTGGCCAGCGGACTCTTCTTCCGGACCTTGTAGTTCTGCCACAATCGCTAGTACTGGGTGATTCCAACGCCGTTGTTTCCGTTTTGACGGTGATTTTCGGTGTTTCCGGTTCAGACTTAATATCCGTGACGTCTGTTTCCACAAACGCTGGCCTGATTCTGCCACTGCTGACCGTCCCTTGTCTACCGGAGCGTTCGGCCATGAAAACTTTGTCTGATTTACTAATTACCTTGAAAGGTCCTTCATGCGGGGGCTGTAAGGGTTTTCGTACGCCGTCGTGTCGGACAAAAACGTGAGTGCAGTTTGAGATGCACTGGGGTATGTAAACTTGGTTGTCTCGGTATCGTGGGAGCTCGGGTTGTAGTGTGCTCATTTGTCGCCGTAGTTGTTGTAGCTAGTTAGTCAAGTCCTGTGGAACGTCTGTTGCTGGGCTAAAATACTCTCCTGACAATCGTAAAGTAGTTCCACAAACTAACTCAGCAGTACAGCAGCCAATGTTCTGCTTGACACTCTAACGTATACCAAGGAGTACTAGTTGTAACTTGTCACTTCACTTGTCATCGGTCTTTACTGTCGTCAGCGCTGCTTTTGGTTGTCGATAGAACCTTCCAGCAATACCACTGTATGCAGGATGGTCCGCAGTGGTTCTTATGCACTTGATCCCGAGAAGTTCGGTTAATTGTTGAAATAGACTACTCTCGAACTGCGCGCTTCTATCTGTGGTGATGACACTTGGGACAGCAAAGTTATAAATCCAGTGTTGGATATTTCTCGCTACTGTTTCGGCAGATATATCCTGCAGAGGTATTGCCACTGGCCATTTCATGAATCGGTCTTCACATGTTAAAATGTGGCTAAAACCATTTGACGGAGGTAGTGGTCCAATGATGTCAACGTGTATGTGGTCAAATCTGATATCCGGTGCGGAAAATCTTCCAGCAGGTAAAATAATATGTCTCTGCACTTTTGACCGCTGGAACGTTAAATAAGCTCTGGACCACTCTCGAAGATCTCGATTTATCTTTGGCCAGACGTATCGGTCAGTAATTAACTTCACCGTAGCTCGAATACCGGGATGTGAAATGCCTTGCATATTAGAGAAGACTAATCATCTCATTGACAAAGGCACAAACAGACGTGGTTTACCCTTGGATACATCACAGGTGATGGATAAAGAGTCATCAAGCTCCACTTTTTCAAGACGTAATGAGGTGTTCACATC